CAATTACACTGTAAAATCAGCATACAAAATACTAACAACAGCAAAAGATGGGGATGAAGAAGAAAATCTCAACAGATGCTGGAACCCAATAATCCCGATGCAAATATGTGCTTTCAATTGGCTATCAATGTTGGGACGCACACCCTGCAAGGAAAACTTACTGAAAAGGAACATCATTAAGCAAGAGTCGAAGGCTATGTGTAGTTTTTGTGAAGTAACAATGGAAAATGAGAACCACCTACTACTGTGGTGTGACTTCTCAACAAAAATATGGAACAAAAATTTTGCATGGTGGGGAAGCACGCATGTCATGCCCAAGACTTGTAAGCAGGCTCTCCTCCAACATGACTAGGCGGGTAGAAACCAAAAGGGGTGACAAGTGGTGTGGTACGCCACAATAAGGTCCCTATGGTTACCTCGAAACCGAAAGATTTTCCAAGCAAAGCACATGTCTACTAAAGAGGTGTTCCAGATGGTGTAGTGCAGGTCATATTGCTGGATCAAGAGCAAAATTGAAGGTTGGTCATTTTCCTACTTGGATTGGCGTACTAATCCAAACAGGTGTCAATTTGTAAAGTCTTCAAAATTAATGATCAGGAAAGGGTAGAATATGAGTAGGAAACAACAGTGATGGTTGTAAAATGTATGGGTTTGGGTACCCTTGGTACCTTCTAATAAGAGACTTTTCTTGGCTTTTCAAAAAAAAAAAAGCTTCTGAAATTTTCTTGAAGTCCACTCCATCAAGAACAGGCCATTTCTAATCCTCCTCTGCAAATAAATTCATGAAGTAGTCAGCCACTCCTTGTTTCAGCTCGTTGACTTCCTGCAAAACCTTCCCACAGATTGATAATGAGTTAATCTCACTCCTACACCATCTACCTTTAATGCATTGGTGGAAATAGCTTGTGTTTGCATGCCCTGCTTTCATCCACGTCTTCCTTGATTTTTGCTTTGCCATTTCCTCTTTTATTTGAATATTTTTCCCATAGGCTTAACATCAGATCCCTCCTAAGGAAGCATTCCACCTCACTTAACTGCTGTGATTTCCCTTTACAATTGAGTTTTTTGATTTTAGCTTTCGCCTCCTCAATATGGTTATCCACCGCCTACGCCTAATTTTGTGTCCAGTCCTTCACGCAATTCTTCAATCTTTTTAGCTTCTCCTTTACCACAAAGCCTCCCCATCCTCGGATTTCTAAGTTTTTCCAATGTTTTTCTACTATTTATCTAAATGCAGGGTTTTGCAGCCACACATTATAAAATTTTAAAGGTTCTTTACTCCTTGTTTTGCCCTCTATTCTATCTCTACTTATGATTCACACTTGGTGATAATTAGTACAATAGATTCTCATTTAGTAAGAGAATAGAAACGCCTAATGCTTAATTTTTGCAGCCTTTTAGTGGAAGTATACTTGCAGCTTAGGCGCTTAGCACAATGTCGAAAGGTTAAAATATTAAAAATAATCCCTAAACGTTTTATATCAATATGGTCTTTAAACAAGTACCAAAATGTACCTTTAATTTTAACATTTTTTGGTTTTTTTTCCCATAGCAAAAATTGTTCTAACTATAATATTTTACTAAAGAGGGAGGGGAAGGAGTTGGGCTCGATTTGAACACTAGACCCAGCCCAGGTGTTCCCACTAGAGAGAGGTGGCTAGCCACTTCTACTGAAGCGTGCAGAACAATTTTGACACTTACTTAGATTTTGTGTGAGAACGTTTTTTAGGGCTTTAAATTTTGGTTTTTATATTTCTTTATTGTTTTAAAATATATAAAATATTACTAATATATAAATATTAAATATATTAAATATATTTATATATTTTTAAGATATTAAATAACCAAAAAACCTACAATTACAACTACAACTTAGCGCTTTTAAACAATGCCTTAGTCTTAAATTAGAATTTATTTACTCACTATTTTTATACACATTAATTACAGAAAAGATTGATCATTAGTCTCTTCATTATGAATGGTTGAAATCTTTTACGACTTAAAAACAATTATTTTTAAAAATTGATAAAAAGTTGATATCTTAGCTATTCATGGTGAATAAATAAATTATCATAATTTTATGTAAATAATGTATGTAAATATTGTATGTAAATGAGAGTAATTCAAGACCTCCTAGCAAATTAACACGGTTAGTGTGCTGACTTGCTATCGCTGCATAGGGAAGCATCTATTAGAAGCAAAGAATGAGAATATTTATGAACGCTGCATAAAGAATATTCGTGAGAATTAAGAAGACACAACTGGTCATCTCCATGTTTTATGATCTTGGATCGAGTTGAGTCTATTTCCTTTTAACTACCTTGCAAAAGAAAATCCTGATTTCATTTCCAGGCTATTTATTGTTTTCAGTTATGATACCAGATGCAAATGATTATCTCTATAGTAAGTTGAATCGCCGGTCCTCTAAAACAAGGATAAGAACTTATTTGAAGGAAATTGCTGATGATAAATTCAGTTATGAGAAATCAAATCTAGGATATTGCTGCTTAAAGGGGGAGGAGGAGGAGGAGTTACATTGGTTATAGTACATAGATCATTGAAAAAAGTTAATGGATCATTGAATGAGTGAATTAAACAAGGAAGACAGAAGGTGAAATATCCAGTAGGTGAGTTCACAAAGTCTATCTGAGAAAGAAGGAAAACAAAATGAGAATGTATTTACTCAGTGTGAATCATTAGTGGAGTAAGAATAGAGGGCGAAAAGGAAGCAAAGAATAACTTTGCAAAAAATTGTTTTACAGTCTATGCTATAGTGAATTGTAAAATATTAACCATTACATTAGGAAGGGATTCAATAGCTGATTTTGTACTTGGACTGCAAAACATAAAACTCATGACTTTAAGTACTCCGTGCATGTAGCTGCATGTAGTTTGGACTACCCTTCTATCTCTTTATCGATGCCTTTAACTTTGCCAACAACAGCTGCTTCAGCATTACTGTTAATAAAGGCCAAATACTAATCATCCCTGCACAGAATTAGTTTGATAGTTACATTATTCTCATTCTTTGCTTCAACATATGCAAAGACGATTACAATGCAGAAAAGTAGGTGATTGTGGATCTTTCTATTTCTGACTTATACCCAAAAT